ACAAGAAATTCATATTGTCCATGTAATTCACCTGTAAGAAACACCTTTTGCAGATTTCAATTTTTATATCAACTTTGCGTATTCATTACTTTTTTTCTAAAAGTGAAATGAAGATCCATTAATGTCAGAACTGGATTTAAATTTTAAACTAGTTCTATCCCAGTGGTACTCTGTTATCTTAACATGTAGTTAAGCTACATATGATCTTGTAAAATCACAAGGTAATTTTAGAATCATAGAAACATTTACAATAATTTAGACAAAAAGAAAATCAGGGATGCACAAGTGATTCACCGTACTGGGACTTTCACTGGTGTGGAGACTTCAGGAATAAACACAGCTACTTTTAGGTATAAATGTTGATTCTTCACTCCATTACACTAGTTAAGTGACATTGCTTACCACAGAGTAAGCATCAAAAAGGGAACTTGGTAGCCAATTTTACATCATTATACAAAGCCTCTTAATTAAAAATACTGTTACACTGTGGTATTTGTGAGTCTGTGGGTGCATTTATAACATGGCATTTGAGACAGCAGCTCTGCAAGAGAAATGTTGAGATATTTAAAGAAGCAGGTACCAACTCAGAGATTGTCTATCTAAACTTTGTAATTAAATACAATTCACTGTATAATTACATTAATTACCCTATCATATGGGTCACTAAGACAAATTAAACAAAGATCTAAAATTCCAGAGAAATATCAGGAGCAATTTCATTTTGGAAAAAGCTCCCAGGGATTTCAGATCTTACGAGTAAATTTTACACTATTGAGCATGACAATATTGCTGACTTTTATATTAGCAGGGAGCGATGCATGTCTTGTGACACAACAAAATTTCAAAACACTAATAAGTATTACAAAATTTTACTTACATTTTACTTACAATCTTGCAAAACTATCAGCGTAAAGAAACCAATTTGTCACTGATGTCACCTGAGGCATTACACTTCAACAATTATATATGACAGTACAGAAAACACAGTGTTGCAATTGCTTTGCTAAGCAAGGAATTATTTTGTAGCTCTCTCTAAGTGAACCAGTTTAGAGACCTGGTGGGTCATACAGTAAAAATAAATACATGTATTTCTTTAAAAGAAAAAGGAGTTATACAGGTTTAGTTTTGGTTTTCTCCTCACTTTTCCCATAATCAATATGTGAATTGGTTCTGTAACATACATATCAAGGGAAGAAAATCTGTAGAATCTGCTTGTAATCTGGCAAACCTTCCCAATGGTGAACAACCTTGACTCCATTTATTTCACCAGGGTGAAGATGTCACAGAGTGGAAGAGGTCATCTAACCCAAAACATGCAGCCAGGCTTGTGCTATTGCATGTTTCCCACATATTCTAAAAAATCACAGGAAGATCCTCCACCAATAGAAATGTTCCACTTATTTCAACATTTAAATAAATTAATTTGACTTTCATTTAGATGATTGTATCAGGAAAATGTGGATTTCATCGTAGGAGTAATTTTTTTCTCTGCAGATTGTAAAATGAGCAGAGGATGACTAAAATGGTTAGAGACATGTACAGAGATGATGCTTACATTTTGACGTTACACTGTGGGAGCCAAATACTAAGTTTCTCAACAAATTGCCAAAACTCTATATCAGCAGAATGCTTGCTTGCATGTAGCAACATATGTTTGAAATAAGGTGCAATTTTTTTGTGTTAAATGAGCTGCTAAAATACCATGAAGTGGGCAAGAAATGCAACCAGAATGTCACAGTTAAGTCACTAGTTGCCGAGCAGACTTCCATGTAGGGGCATCAGCCCATGTCAGGTACTGTGAGGTTCCTCTCACTGGAGCCAGGCAGTGCCAAGCAGTTGGGCCAAGAGGAGCAAGAAGAGCAGAGGCTGCAGCAGCTCCTCACCTCAGTACTTCTCCCTTTTTTGTCACACCCTTCCCTTGCCGGCCTGATCTAGCAGCACTGGCATGCTGTCTTTCCCCCATCTTTCAAATTTCCTCTTCAACTTCATTCCCTCAGAATGGTTACCTCGGTAAAGTTATCCAATTTCCTCTAACCACACACAACTCCTTTCAGCTGGTAGGTAAACTGGTTTAAACTGTTTACTTTGGCAAACTTTTGGCCTCTCATTCTGCAGCATGGAGAAGGACATCTAAAAGCTTAGTGCTAACGAACACTGAAATATCTTGCTGGCAACAGGAATAAGGTAACAGTGGTCACACCGGTTAGTCTGGACAGCATCTGGATGGTTCCTCACCTATTTCAAGTATGGGAGTTCATGGCAGAAGAGGTGGTAATGAGAAAGGTGAGAAAGAGAAGGGGATCCTGAGATTACCTACATAAAAACTGGAAACCCCTGCTGACCCATTTTCTATCTTTTGTGGCCAAACTACAAAGAAATTAGGTGAAATTAAAGCCTAAAGGTGATCTTAAAGTTTCATATAAGCATCTCTTTTCTTTAAATGACTACTATTTCTCCTTGTAAAGTCCTCTGAAAATCAACTGTGATCTTATAAGGTCACAATCTTGAAAAGCTAGACACACAGGATCTGTATTCTACACCAGGTTAAAAGCATGCAATATTTTTGGCTGATGTAATGCTGGCATTCAACTACATAGAGACATGGCTGAAATTTGATCAAAAGCAGGGCAGGAAAAATGAGAAGGTGTATGGCTGGATTCGGTAATTTAGAAATCCAGGGCTTAGGTGTGCCTTGAAACACATTATATGAATTGCAGGCTGTGGTTGGAATAGATATTGTAGTTTGGTCCATATGCATTTATTCTGCGTTATGAGATGGAACTGCTTGCTTGCATCTAAGTATGTGTTAATCATGAAAATTAAAGGCAATTAAATATGAAACTTCCCAATTAGTCTCTTACCTATATATTCCAAATACATCGTACAAAGCAGCATCAAAATAAAAAGAAGAGTCAGCTTAAGACTGTAAATTTATATATCTGCCTGAACTATGACACAGGTTCTACCGCATAGTCTGTTTCCCACCTTCCTGAGGCAGATCCCTGAGCTCATTACGAACACAGCTCCCTCTAGAGCTTGAGTATTAGGCAGAACTACAGCGCGCACCCCTCCGGCTCCGAATCTCGGTTAAACTGCTTAGAAAGGGAGCACCGTGAGAGCCACACACATCCCAGAGGGGCCAGGGAGCCTGGCACAAAGGCTGAGATTCAGACAACCCTCTGTCAGAGGCAGATTCCCTGTTACCAGTTAAAATTGCATACCTTTCCAATGTGAGCTTGTAGGAAAAGGGTTAACAGGCCCCTGGTTTGTGGGAGAGGTGAGGTACTAAGCCCTGAACACTTGAAACTTACTTGGTGTCTGGTGTGACAGGTGAGCCTTGACAGGGTGCGCGTTCTCAGGCCTTAGGGAATAGAGCATGTCATCTAACTGAGCACCCGTGTCCGACGTTCTGCATGGAGAGGCAAGGACTGACATATTTAGACCTTCAGAATGTACAGAATCAAAGCTAATTAACCCAACATCACTTCTGCATGACCAGCTGCCTCACAGAGCAGCCATTTCCGAGCTGGGGTGCTGTTTGCCCCTTGACAGCCAAGCCAAAGGTTGGCAGTGGATGAAACTGGTTATCCAGTGGTGTCCAGTTTCACCACTATTCCAAGAGGGGAAGCGAGGGGAGGTACAAATGTATGGGGACACCAAACAGGCAGGGGGACACGGATTGCAGGCACGTCCAGGAGTGTCCGTGGTCGCGGTTCAGGGCCCCTCTCCTCACGGCTTTCCTCGAAGATCCCCGGCTCTGCTTGCTCAACCCGGGCGCTTCCGCCGCCCACACTCCCTGCCCCTTCGTGTCCCGCCGCCCCGCGCTCGCCCCGGCCGCTCCCCCGCGGCTCGCGCCGGCTGCACCGCGGGAGGCGAGCGCGGTCCCCGCTTCTCCCTGCGATTTAGCCGGCTTCTCGCCCAATCACCGGCTTACCGTGCTACGGCCAACATGACACTAGACACCGTCACGCCGCACTATCGCCCTCAGACCCGTCGGGACCCGTCAGATCGCTCCCCCGAGGTGCTGCGTCGCCGCCCGGGGACGGCCTGCCTGCTTGAGCGCCTGCTGTGCCGCCTGGCCGCGCGGTGCGTGACGGACGGCGGGGCAGGGGGGGGAGGCGGCGGCGCGGATCGGCTCCTGTTGACTCGGTCCCTCGGACCTCGGCCCTTGGGCGGGTCCGGGGAGCCCGAGAAAGCCGCGGGAAGGAGGCAGCGCACTGGGCCGGGCAGCGGCTCTCGCACTCGCGCCTGTGGCCGCCGGGACAGCGGCGCTCACGGGATCCCTGGGCGCGGCGGCCGCCTGCTCGGGCCCAAGGATGGCTTCTGGGGATGTTCCTCACTGTCCACGGCCGGGGCGCTGCTGGGGAGCGGGGGCAGGCTCGGGGGTCGCGGTAGGTTGCAGGTAAGGTTTGCAAGATTTCCTTCCCTTGCCCCAGCTCCGAGCTTGCCGAAGAGGTAGAGAAGGTGGTAATTTGAAAACGAGTAGGATATCGCTCAGTTAAACCCTGGATTTCCAGAGGTTACAGAGGCGCGAGGGGTTTTCCCATCCAGCTTCCTCCCAGACAGTTCCCCGAAGCAGCTGTGGCTGTCGTGGATCATCGCGGCGGACACCCATCCGCTTGTGGGGGCCAAGAGTCCTGGTGAACTGCACCACATTTATTTGCTGCTTGAACATTCTGCATGTTCAGGCTTTTGTATCGTCTTCAGAGGTCTTGAATCAAAAAGGGCTAATTAGACAGAATTCCAAATAAGTTAATTCATCGATTTGAGAGTTGTAAAACAGAAAATAATATTATTCTCATATTTCTCACTTCTGCCAGGACACATTCCTTTAGTAAAGATGAGCATGAGCCCAGATGGTAGGACTGAGCTTTTTCCCCAAAAACAACTTTTCGGAGTAGCAATTAACAGCAACTGCTTCATTTAACTAAACAGCAACTGCAGGGAAACAGGAATTACATATCATATGACTGATATTTTTCTCTTTTCTGTATTTAAAGGCTATGCAGCGCTACCGACAGCAGTCAATATAACTTGGTCTTCAATCAATTTTAAAACTATACTACAGTGGCAGCCAAAACCAGCAGGTTACTTCTATACTGTAGAAATACACGGGTAAGTAGATAACACCAGGGTATATCCATTAATGACAATTGAAGACGATGCAAATAGACCATGTTTGAATATGTTCGAGAGTAAATGTAACAGGAAAAGAGCCCAAACATTAGGACTTAAGAGAATTCCCTACCCAGCTGTTAATAATTTTTTGTATCCAACTATAAGAATATGTGGTTCAGGCTTCTGGTTTTGCCCACTCTAAAAAATGGAGAGTTGAGCTAGAGATCAGTATTTCAGTTCTGGGGTTTGGTGCAGGCCAGCTGCATGAGAGATCTAGGCCAGGATACTTCGAAGAAGTTGATGCTCAGTCTGACACACCATGTATTAGATAGAATTTTACCTTTTTTATGTTTTTCAAGGTGTCTGATCTGAGTCTTTTGTCTTCAGTCTTGGGAGGTGTCTAATAAATGAATCTGCATTTTATTCTAATTGGTGAATCACAATAAATGAATAATTTGTCTTGCTGGATAACACTAAAAATCACCTTTGTTCCTCTACCTCTGTCGACACGTCCTCTGTCATCATGTTTTATGTAAACTATAAAATATTGTGGACATAAAAGGTAGCCAGCTAATGTAAAGTGTCTAACACACCTTTCAGAACTGCACAAAAACTTCCATGAAGTTCAGTAATAAATCTGTGTTGTTCTTAGCTCCCATTTTAATACATAGAATATTATTAAATTTGTCCCAAAGGGAAAATGCATCATCAAACCTCCTACATATTAATGAAAAAGTGGTACTGTAGTCTCTTCTGTCTCTAACTAAAAGTGGCATGAGAGCTGTCTCTCATGACTAATGGATGAAACACCAGTGCAATGGCCTAATGTGCTCTTTCATTAAGGGAGTGATTAGATTAGTAGACTTAAAAGCACACACTTAGCAGAACAAATTTTATTAAATTCGTGAATCTGGAGTTTCTTTCCAGTGGTTTTGCTTGCAAAAAATTGAAATCTGTTTGCCCAAGATTCAGTGTAGAATCAGGTGTAGTTCTGCAACACAGGCACCTCTTTAAACAAGTTGCTGTTCCAAAGTGTGCTTAAATGTTTGCTTTCTCATGTCTGTACATTTACAGAATACATTTGTTTCATCCCAAAGATCAAATCTCTGTCCCTTTTCAAAGCATCTCATGTGACACTATCAATAACTGATCTGTGACATAAGAAATCTGGTGAAGTAAGAAGGGAGTTCAGGTGACTCTTGAAAATAAAACGTGATCTATTTTGAGAAAAACTCATTTGTTAATTTCAAAAGTCACCACTCTTGCTCTTCCAGCTGAGATCACACAATTTTGCTTTTCCTTAATTCACCAGCAAAAAAAAAAAAAAAAAGGAAAAAAATGGAGTAATAACGTTTTTTTTCAATCCTTCTTGTTAGGAAGTAAAATGGGGAATTAACACTTTTTTCCTGATCTCATTACTAGTTCTCAGGTAAATGGACATGTTTTCTATTCTTTAAAAATCAAGATAAGCGTTTTTTGTCAATGTTTTTAAAATCATAATTCTGCAATGAAATTTGCTGCTACTGTTTGGTTCTTAGTAACATTTGCCACTGCATAGTTGCAAAACCAAGTGACATATATGCGGAGACGTTGTTGTCACATTAAACTGTGTCAACAGAGCTTCCTATAGCAACTGATGTTTCTTAAGGCAAGAGTTTTCACATGCATCAAGGATAACACATTCAAAGTAATTTATGCATCTTACATTTTTTAAAATAAATTATGCAACTGCAGAAAAATGCAAAATCAGAACTACTTATGGTTTCTATCCATTAATATAAAAAATTTAATGTTTAATTCATATATGGGTCCAATAACATATTTCTGTCATATGGATCATACTTACTTTGCTTGATTCTACTTTGAATTGTGAAATACAGCTGTACACAATAGGTTTTCTTCAAGTGTTCTCTTCTTTTCAGCCTAATACCCCTGCAAGACTGTTCTACCGGATGAGGGAGATCTATACAGTTTAAGGGGAAAATGTTTTTCAGTGTATCTAAATATGTAAGTGTCTGGTTGGAAGCTGTTGACACTTCTTTCTCGCTCTTTTCAGACAGACATCTGACATTAAAAAAAAATGCATACGGACAACAGAAACAGAGTGTGATGTTACTGATGCGCTCAAGGATGTAAAAGAGACCTACGTAGCCCACGTACTGTCTGTAATGCCTGCGGGGATGGATAACTTTGAAGAACCACCTTATGCACTTTCTGAAAAATTTACTCCTTATAGTCAGAGTAAGTAGGATTGCCAATTAAATCTTATTATAAACTTCCTTTCAAGACTAGTTCCATTGACCTAAAGAAGATTTAGATTGAGCTTAAAGGTTTTTTTCTATAGATTCTTACAATAGCCATGCTGATACTGCAGAAGACATTCAGGCATAAAGCTTTTGTTAACATTGTGTACTAGATGAAGATACTTGTTTACAACCCAGGACTTCACCCTATTACTTTGGCTTCTTAAAGTCAGAATAGATTTGAGACGGGAAGTTAATAAAGAGTGGAAGAAAGAAGAGCATGTTGCGTAGAAAAGATGATATCAGTTTTTTAATTCTAAAAATCTTTGTTTAGCTGTTATCGGAAAACCAGAGATAAAGAATTATACACAAAAAGGTTCGGAACTGAATGTTGTGATCAAAGATCCACTTACACCATATACGTTTCCTAATGGAAGCTTTCAAAGTATTCGAGATATTTTCCAGCATGACCTGGAATACAAACTCTACTACTGGAAAGATCAAAGTTCTGGAAAGGTAAGGTCTAACTCTAGTTTTCATTCTGTAATAATTTTAATATTCTGTAGCTGTATTATAGTTACACAATTTCTGTGCTACCTTAAGAGCTGACACTTGAAATATTTTTTTTTTTCCTTTTAGAAAGATGCAACAACAAAAAGCCATACATTTGAAGTAAGTGTTGAGAGCACAAAGAACTATTGCTTCTATGTCCAGGGATTCATTCCGTCCCGCAGAGAAGACCGTAACGGTCAAACCAGCGTGATGCACTGCACCACTGCAGAAAGGGGCATCTTCGACGGTGGGTACCGGGTGACGTTTGTCACACCACAGTCTTTATCATTCTAACAAAAAGACATGTCTTTAAATTGGGATGCCTGTTATAAACCATTTACTGTGTAAGTTAGAAGACACAGTCAGAACATGGAAACTCATTCGAAGAACTCACTTCAAGTCAGAGTCCACCATCTTCAGCTAGTTAGAGTTTGTTTTAGGGTTTTGCTCAACTGTGTTGATTAAATTGTCTGAATTGATAACTGGTCACTGAGGCTTCAGATCTCATCACTAGCCTTCAGCTTTGTTTTTTTTCACTATTGTTTCCCTCAGATTCTTCCAATAGGAGGTTCCATAGTAAGTGCTTGAAGGATTAGCTCTAAAACATACGAGTGCTGGAAACCTATCCACTGACTTTAGTTTGAACTGACCTTTAGTTACCCCTAAAGCAGATGGTGAGACTAAGACTTTCTTTACTATTACAAGGTCAGAGGTTGGCAGATTGACTTCTTTACTAGTAGGTAAGTTAAGGAGTGGTCAGTGAATCAGCCAGTCAAATTTTAGACAAACAATCTGGATAAAACTTTCTTCAATATAAAGTCATCAATATTATTTAAATAATATCACATTGCTGTACTGTATCTTTCTTCTCCCCCAGATAAGAAAATCTCTTCTAAAATTGGCAGATGAACTCAGATTAACTTCCCTATCTAAATATGTATTTTTGTTTATCACAATAGTGATAAATTACAATTTAATTACAACTTAAATAGAAAACTCTTCTCTTGGTGTTTTCTAGCTTATAACCTAGAATAAATTCCTACTTGGACGGAAATGATGTAGGGACAGGGGGAACAGTTTGATTTATTCTTGTGGTGTTAGCATGGTATTTTAGTGCACTAACTAAACTAGATTAAAACCTAGTGTGAACCAGGTGAAATAAAGCTTCACCTCAGTTCAGCAAATTCATGTTAAAAAGTGTTTAGTTCACACTGAATTCTGTGGTACTGTAAAATATAGAAAGCCTTTTTTTCATTCAGTGGAATGAGTGCTAAGAGTTTGTAGCACTGTGTCATTATGGATTCTGATAACTGAATCTTGCACTTTTTTCCTCCCCTACAGAATATGGAGCAGAAGTCTTTATCATCATAGCAGTGATTGCAATTGCAGTCATCACTCTTGCCATTGTCCTACCAGTGATTCTGTGTAAACGCAAGAAAGTAAGAGCTGCGAGAGAAAAGCAACCACTTAATGGTGTCTAAGGAAAAAGTATCGTGGACACTAATGGCAGCACCAAGGCAAAAAAACCACTACAACAAAAAGCCATAAATTGGATAATTGGGTGGAGCTTTTTAGGCTCTCTGAAACAGGAATTTTGAAGCCCAAATTTTAGTGGCTGGAGGCTGGAGGAGCATTCTGGTGATCTGATACAATCATAGAATTGTAGAATATGCTGAGTTGGAAGTGACCCACAAGGATCATCAAGTTCAACTCCTGGCCTTGTGTAGGATACCCCAAGGCACACACAGTGTGCCTGAGAACGTTGTCCAAACACTTCTTCAACTCAGACAGGCTTAGTGCTGTGACCACTTCCTTTGGGAGCCTGTTCCAGTGACCAACCACCTTCTGTGTGAAAAACCACCTCCTAATATCCAACCTAAACCTCCCCTGACTTGGCTTCATGCCATTTTCTTGAGTTCTGCCACTGGAAACGAGAGTGAAGAGTCAATGTCTGCCCTCTGCTTCCCCTCATGAGGGTGCTGAAGACGGCAAAGAGGCCTCCCCTCTGTTTCTTCTTATCCAGGCTGAGCAGACCTCAGCTGCTCCTCATATGGCTTCCCCTCAAGACCCTTCACCATCGCCCTCCTTTGGATGCTCTCTAACACCTTAGTGACTTTCTTATATTGCAGTGCCCCAAACTGCACACAATATTCAAGGTGAGGCCGCCCCAGTGCAGAGCAGAGCAGGACAATCCCCTCCCTCGACCAGCTGGCCATGCTTTGCCTGATGCCCCCCAGGACAGGGCTGGCCCTCCTGGCTGCCAGGGCACCGCTGACTCATATTCAACTTGCCATGAATCAGGACCCTCAGGTCCCTTTCCACAGTGCTGCTCTCCAACCTTTCATTCCCCAGTCTATAAACAAAGCCAGGGTTGCCCAGTCCCAGGTGCAGAATCCAGCACTTGCCCTTGTTATACTTCATATGGTTGGTGATTGCTCATCTCTCTAATTTGTTATGGTCTCTCTGCAGAGAGCTCAACCCTTGTCATAGACTGTTCCCAAGCCACTTCTATTGTCCTGTCTGAAACAGGATTGTGAACTAAAGGTACTTTTGGCTTGATCAGTATGGCCTTATTGAGCCAGAAGATGGTACAGCTTTACGGTACTTGTGAGGGGAAAGAACACTACTTCTGAAAAATACATGTCCTTTACCTAACTAAAGGAACATCATTCTGTTTCTATGAAACAAAACCTGTATTTATCTGCCTTTTAATATTATTAACTGGTGAAATGATCTGTTAGTTCAGATGTGACAAAATTGCTACTATTATTTCTGCACTTCTTGGATAAAATTAACTTGGTCTATTTATATTTGAATATAGACAACTGAAGGTAAACAAACTGAAACTACTCTACTAGTGACTTGTAAGGAACTCTCTTGGAGCAGGTACCCGCTATCCCTCTGGAAAGCATATCCAGATTACACTACATTGAGAGTTGTACTGACAGGGTAGTCTGATAGTTCCAAGTAAGTGTTAGAACAAATACTTTGCAGGGTTTGAGTCAGTAATAACTCACTTAATGCAAGCACTGAATAGGTAGTATTTACTACATTTTGAACGTAATTTTTAACTAAACAGCTGATGAATGAACAGTTTCTGTGGCATAGATTCAAATAATCTTGGTATTGGGATTTGAAGGTAGATGTTGCTTTGTCTTTTAATATTTATTTTATAAACGAGAATCTAACTTTTATACTGGTGATATCTGTATTTATGTTGATAATTTATACTTTTCTAGTGAAATAAAGGTGACTGGAAAAATAAGACTTTCTTTTCATTTTCAAAACAATGTACAGTTTTTATTCTAGAACTAAATTAAAAATATGTTTAGGAAACTTATTTTGTGACAGCAGTGTAGGCAACCTGCCAGAAGTCTAATCAGGACTCTGCAAAACAGACTACCAGGGCACCTACTGCCTGTAAGAATAAAACTATGAGAAGCCACAGTTCACAAGCGGATGAAAGGTTTTGAAAAGTCCTGAGTCACGTCTTGGCTGTCCACTTATGTCAGCAATTAGTCAGGGTTTGCATTCAGAGCTTCTTATTCTAATGGAAAGCATACCAGACATCTCTGGATGTATCACATAGGGATTCTGACAGTGGTGTGTATTCCCCTGTATTCATGACAAGGAATACCTTACAAAATTTATAGTCCAATCTATCAGTTCGTACAGAATTGTATTTTATATTTTTTATCCCTGTGTTACAGATACCATCTATGTATGGATTAAGACTCCGGTGAATGTATGAGTGTATTTTATGGGAGTTTTCTTCGTTCTTGAATTCCTCTTTTTACAGAGGGAAGAAAACAAATATCACCATTATCCCCAAAAAACCCCATTTACTTAATACTTAATATTGTGCAATAAATGCTTAATGCATTTTCTGCTGATGCATAAGCCTTGTATGGAAAAAGAATCTTACAACAGCAATCAAAAACACGAGAGCCTGTGGGAGTAAATTTAAAAACATTCCAAAGATGTCATCATTACTTCCCTTCCTGTGATGTTCTGCTTCCTCAGCTTCATTCACTACCCAGCTCAGAAAAGGGAAGAGCTAATAGGAAAAAGAAAGCCTGTAGATTACAGCGTAACATTTATTAAACTAGACCATGAGCTGCTTGTTATAAACTACATAGAATGATGCTATAAATCATCCTTCATTACTTAAAGAGATTTTTGGTTTGTTCTGAATATAAAGGGGGGGAAGGAGGGGAGAAGGAGGGGGTAAGGAAGGGGGAAGAAGCTGGGGAGGGAGGCGGGAAGAGAATACCCATTTGCAAACAAGTGCCTTAAGTGGCAAAAGAGTGCCCCATGACTGCACAAGTCCTGGAAATCTGAAGCACTTCTGTTTCCTAGCTGCAGTATGTTATCATCCAACAATGCTGAGTAACCAGAGTCACAGGGTTCACAGATCCTATTTCAATGAGGTTTTTTGCTTTTTGTGGAGACAGTTAAGAAATGGGTTTTTTAGTTGCAAACTTCCGTAAGCCCACACCAAATGTTTTATGCAGAGATTTTTCTCAGAGTATCAGAGTGGGCAGAAGTTGTTACTGTACCAGTAAAGGTATTGTCAGCAGGGAGAAGGATTAGGTCCTATCTACAACACACATGTGGCCACTTCAGCACTGTGTGGATTTAAGATGGAGCCAGACATCCAGGGAAATGATAGGATATAGGGAAGACTTTTCCTATGCAACTAAACTTTCTGGCTCATCTTCTAAGCAGGGTTCTGTAAGCAAGCATGTTCCTACTAAGGCTCCCAATGCCCCTGTTCTGCTTTGCTCCTTGTCAACCAGAAAAGTTATCCAGCTATTTCAAGTGGATAAATACATTTTCATAGTTCCATGACACAGTATTTGTGTCCTCTCCTTGTACAAGTGAATGTGTAACATTGCATACTATAATAAGCCACTCTGGTTTTATAGTACTGCTTTAAAATTGCATTCTTCTTCACATAAGTGAATAAAGGCTGATACTGTTCTGCTACTTTGCTGTCAGCCCTAACAGCATTACAGACAATAAAATTACAGTCATTACTTAAAATGAATAATGGTACAGGACTTCACAGATGTATGTATGATAGATATGGCAGCAAACAGGTTAGCTAATCTATTTCTGCCAGACTCAGCTTTCCACTGTGAGAAGGCTCCTGCTGAGAGGCATGTGAGAGAGGAACGTGATTATAAGCTCAACTCGTATCACTAGTTATGTGACAACTCAGGACAAAGAGTTTTTGCACTGTGAGAACAAACAGCTGTGATAGATTACCCTCTCGGTTCAGTTTTGTAAAGTAGTGACTGCCACGCGGTTCGCAGTTTCAGAACCTTGTAATACACAGTACCAGATCGAAGAGTCAATTGAATAATCTTCTAATTACACAGAATTTATCCACATACAACTAACCATGCTTTCCATAGTCTATGTTTGTCCTGCATTCATGTTTGAGAATGACATGAAAAGAACAACCTGCTAGAGAGGACAGAAGCAGGAACTGGCCAGCTGAAAATCCTTTCCCAACTCTTAGGTGTAGTGTTACTCACCACAGCATACACTCCCCGACACAGTACGCCCATTCCCTTAAAAAGAAACTGCCACAGAAGGCTGCTCTTCCCTTATTTGGTGGTGTGTGCCCTCCAGTGCTCTACAGCAGGAGTATTAAAAAATCTCAAGGTGTAAAGACCATGACATGTGCTGCAAATCTCTTCCTTACACCATATGATGAGAAATCTTCCCACCAGTGAGATCCTTCTGCTTCTTCTGGCACAGGTTCTCATTCAGCCCACAGAGCCTCTTTCAGCATCCCCCCAAAAGACGAGAATGAACACCTTTCCCTGTAATTCCTCAGCCTTTAACTGTAGCTGAATTAGTCAAGTTCATAGGAAGATTTCCCTCAGGATGATTTCTTCCAATAAAACCCAGTTATAAACATACAGCCACGTGGACTTCCTCCAGGGTTTCACAGCCACATCCTGTCTCATATGTCCAACTGCAGAGATTGTGCCCATTTCACATTTTGTCAAAAATTGAGCCCTGTTAGTGACACACTTTAGTGACTGGCTTCTGTAAGAAGCTCGCGTTGTTTCTGCTCCTGACTTCCCCTGGTTCCTTTGGTGATGTTTCCATTCCTCTTCCCCATCTCCCTACTCACTTCCATTACCTGTTCTTCCCCAGAGACAAACCCATTGACTCATTTCTGCAAACAACTGGGCAGGATCTCATTTAAATCAAAATATACCACCTGAATAAATCTATATCCCTTAATCACAATCAAGAATATACTAATATCATTGAAGCATTTTTTTGTTTTACACTCTACAGCTTCATTTGGTCTCTGTCATAAAGCCAATAACTTCCAGAACATTCGCTAGCACTGCTTTGAGTACCTTCTTATTGCACCTACTTTTTTTAGCGGCTTGTTTAAAATAGCAATGAACTTATTAATCTGTACTCAAAGAATATTCAAAGTTTCAGATCTCATTTACTCCCCCTGATGGATTTTCTTCTATTTTTATTTTCAAATTTTCCACGTTATTACTTCAAGAAATATTAAAGTAGCAAAGTACTGTCACTGTTACATTCACAAAACTATTTCATCAAAAGAGGTTTAATTAAAACCCACCTTCCTCTGAACAGAGAAATATTTTCCCAATGAGATCACATGGTACTTTTTAATTAGTTACTCAGTAGTCACATAACTCAATTAAAAAGCTAGTGTAATAAAAGAGCTAGAGTGACAAGTGAGATTTTAAAACCTACTCTAATAAGAAGGACTCATTATTCCAGGTAGAAATGTGGGTTTGTTTTTTTCTTGGAGTTCATGGATTTTTGTGGTGGTTTTTTTGTTTGTTTGTTTGTGGGTATTTGGGGGTTTCTTTTGTTGTAGTTGGTTTGTTGTTGTTTTTTTTTAAGGAGTGCATCCTTGATTAACACAAAAATTTTTCCCTCTGCTGCCTTCATACTTTCCCATCCACTCACACCAAATATGCACATCTCCACAGACATGATGCTCAGTCTGATTTCTCATCTTTACTCTTAACATGATCACTTGCTTCCATAAAGCACCAAGGGTGCAACCACACGATTGTATGTCACCACTGCCACAGTC